TTATTGCCCCCATAATCTGGGTCCTCATTTTACCTGCCTTAGAAAGGATGGAAGGCTGAGTCAACTTTGAGCCTGGTGAGATTTGAACTTGCAGTAATTGCAGGCAGCAGATGTGAGTGGATGTTAATAACAATGCTTTAGTCTGCTGAGCCACCAGAGCTCCTCATTATTCAGAGCCATTATTCCTCCCCTTGTGAAAGTCTGCCTATATGTGGGTACTGGGGGGGTGGGGTGATGTGGGATACTGTAGGTCCCTACCCTATGAGAAAATTATGGGAGTCTAAAGGTGGACCTTCTTAGTGATGCCCCAAATATCTAATATTGTTGGTAGGAAGTTGGCCTATGACCACAGAGATTCAGGTCAAAGTCCATCTTCAGGCACAGATTTTCAAATTTGAAACAGGAGGTAGCGCTATGGAGGCCAGCTTGAGTGATAGGAATAAATCAAATAAATAAACATGGAACAACTTATTTGCAGAGGTTTGTTTGACACACACCCCAAACACACAGAGATCAATGTGTGGGCATTGGGGTCCTTTTGCTTGCCTTTCTTTTTTGCTTTTGATTTCAATTATGGCTTATATGTTTTATGCTAATTGGATGGTGGTTTTTATGAGGAAGATTTAAGGGATGGATATTCTTCTCACGCTTGAAGAGCTTCTGAATTTCCACTGCTTTGTGCTGTTATTCTACATGGCCAATATGAAAAAATAAATATTCTTCCAATACAAGTTATTATTGGGGCAGTAACTACTTTTGACAAGCTCTTTGAAGTGGCTGATAGCAGTGAAATACTTCATATAAGCATCAAACATGACTGACAAATACATCTTCCTTGATGCCCTCATAAATTCTAAAGCAAACAACCCAGGTATATTTAACGCCAGCAGAGGGCTCTAACTGCTTCATGAAAATGTATACATGAAATAATCAGAATAAGAAGGACTCAACTGCACTTTAACAGAACAGCACATAATTCTAAGCAGTATTAGCCAGGAGTGGTACTCACTCAGTTTAAATTAATATAAATTAGGGAGCTCCCTCCACCATGCGAAGAAATTCTAAATCAAGAATGGATTGCTTAGTAAATATTTGGCTATTACTACTTCAGTACTTTCAGATTACTTTCAAGTCCTTTCCTCAGATTTTAATAGAAAATACAATGGATGTATGTTAGATAAAACAATGACTTTCAGTGGACATTAGTCCTCCAGGCTAAGGATATGGTTGACAAGTCCCTGTGGTTTTCTTGGGAAAATTTTGGAAGTGGTTTGCCATTACTTCCTTCCCAGGGCTGACAGAGAGACTGGCCCAAAGTTACCAAGCTGGCTCTGTGGGACTAGTTTCTCAGTTTCTAGCCTGATGTCTTAACATTACACCAAACTAGTTCTGTTTGGCAGTTTCATGGACAATGAAAATCAAGTAAAATATTCACAGTACAATATCCATTAAATAGTAAACCATGATGACCCAAATAGAACAATGAACAATATAGACAGAAAATAAAGATGGCTCCGTCTTTAAATGGCTCCAAAACATTATTAATAGAGATGGTCAGGAAGCTGTTTCACAGTATTGGCACTGGTACAGAATCTGATGATGACTTTAGGTAGAAGATGCTCTTCTTATTTAATTAAAATTTATTTTTTCCCAAAATTCCACTGTTTTTTCAAAAATTATGGCAATTGTCTCCCCTCTCTTTTACTGTTTATAACTTTTCTCTGAAACTTCTAACACAGAGAGCATTTAATATTTATCATATCTGTTCAGAATCAGCCCCCAGGAAGATCTTTGAAGTACATCTAACTTTTCTAGTAGTAAATCTTAATAAAAGTATGACTTTTACTGCTTCCATATCCATACATTGATTTTATTAAGCAAAGTAAGTTCTTCTGAATCCAGTTAGAAATGTAATGGATTTTTGCAAAGGGGCATGCATGCTTTCAATGAATTGATGGATTCAGATCACCGATTTGAACTGCATTGATTCATCAAAGGAATCGGACAATTCAGATAAAAAAACGTGGATGGGTAAATGATACATCTTATACCTCAGTATATTAAACTAGGCAGAAGAACACTAAACTGTAAATAATTGATGAAGGCTATACCTTGATTCTCCATTCGGGTATGACTATACAGGTAGTTTTTGACCTATAACCATAATTAAGCCTGGAATTACAATAGTATGTTCTGGCAGTTTTAAGCAGGTCAACACATGACTGTGACCAATTTTTGTGGTGGTTGGTAAGTTGTTAAGCGAACATGGCAGACATTAAACAAATTTGGTTTTCCCCAATGGACGTTTTTTGCTGGAAACCGGAAGTAGTATCTTGAGTGATTCCCAGACTCATAAAGATTCAGGAGACCTTTGCATGAACAATCTGTTACAAGATTCTCTAATAGGATAAAAGAGATCAGACTTTTCACTGATATATAACAATGCAATTAGAAAGAAAATAAAGAAGGCTTTGACCTAATGTACTTTGGAAATATTTAGAAGGGAAATGTTTCAATTGCCAGAATTCTTGCAATTGCAACAGATCTTGTCTAATCAGACTTCATGAGAATCATGTTTGGAAAGAACTATCAGTTTTAGATAGCAGCAAAAACAGCTTGACACCCATCCAGATATCCTCCAAATAGATTAGGATTTTAACTATCAGAAAACCCAGCCACCATGATCTTGTCTATTCTTGCAACTGGCCATCCAAACATCCAGAGCCAAATGAATGACAAGCTAAAATGAAAGAGTTCAGGATGACTATGCAAGCATATGAGATCCACACATGGAGCAACTACTCACTCAAACATCCTTTTGACAGAATGTCTGCATTGTACATCTGGCAGAGGAGTTAATCTATTGAATTACCTGAACTAATTACATTATACTAATTCAACAATGCATGATCATAAGGAACAGTGACAGCCACTGACGTTTGATAGAGAAACCTTATGAGCAGCACAGCTGCAGCTTATTGGCTTTATGGTAAGCATGCTTCTTTCTTCAGCACGTATCACATGCTACAATTGAATGAGAACTCCCATGCTTTGCATTATGCTCTTTCTAAAACTGCCCCATTTCAAACGTCTACTGTTGCCATGCCTTCCACTAACCTGCTTCAGTGCTTCTAATACAAAATAGAAAATAAGATCTTTTAAAGGATCCAGTGTCATGGATTCCTCTGACTCAGATGCTAAGAGGCTAGATGCATCATGTTGTCAGTATCAGGATGTGGCAGACCATCAATTTCCTAAGTCTGACTCAACAGAAAATCAGACAGAGCAGGTGTGGAAAGAATTGGATGATGAGGCCCACATTTTTTCAAGGTGCCCAGCCCTAGGACACATCAGTAGCTTTGGAGCAGAGGTACTCTCCGTGGCTCTCTGAGAAGCAAAACCACCAATGCCCACCAGTGAACCAAATCTGCACCTGGCCTCTTAAGAGTAATTGTCAGTGATTACCCCATTGTTGAGAATAACTGACCAACATTGGATATTCAGTACTTCATCTCTGCTTCCTGTTTTGCTTTTCATCTCTTCGTGGATCACATTTGCCTCTTTATTGTTATCCTGGCTCATTTCCATGTACCTATGCTTCGTTTTTCCTATGGCTTGATTTTGGACTGAAACTAAACCGTGTTGTGTAATGCCTAACCACTAAGCAAGACTTCACTCTGTTGCATTTTCTGGACAGGGATGCACCTCTCCATCAACCTGGTAAGTAGGTGCACTGCTATTACTCAGTAAACCACTTTGAAAACAAGACCAGTAACTATGCTCAATGTGAAACAAGACTCATAGGAATAGACTGGGACACATCTCTTTCTCATCAGCTAAACTCCCCAAACAATTTTTTATTTTAACTGGTTCTCATGTGTTTATAGCTGGAGAAGTCAATTTTCCAGATATTCTGAATATTCCATAACTGGGTTGGCCAGATTTCCTGAAAACTGTAATTCAAAACACCCGGCATACAATCTGGTATGGTAATTAAATCCTAGGAGGAATTCATAATACTAAAACTTGCCATTATAATGGTAGACTAACAACTACTGGAGCTGATGACTACCCCTGAAAAAGCAATAAATCAAAAGCTTCTGCAATTGTGATCTAAGAGGCCCAGCATATTATGGTCTGCTAGATTCCTAATAAATACACTGTTCTTGTGGACTTTGCACACAGTGAATGAAACAGAGGAAATGGCTTATGAAACATTCTTATATCTGCTTTTCCCAAAATAACAGTTTTGGCAGAGTAGTACTTTGTAGCGAAATGTAGGGCTTCCTGAGCTAAAGGAACAGCATCACTTTCAAATGCCATTTAAAGAAGAGGAAACATAAAACATCAAAATATAGCTGAGGGTCATAAATTATCTAACAGAGTTCTGTTCCAACTTGACTTTCTTCAGATGTAAAGACCTTTGAATGAATCTTGACTTCTACTGACTTTATGGATTTGTGCATACAGGTTTCTTTACAACATTATGAAAATCATTTGCCATTACTTTCTCTGAGATTCAGCTCTTTTAGCCTACAGCCTACTGGAAGTCCCATCAAAGCAGTAACCAATTCCTATCCTATTTGGCTTCCAACCACTACAAAAGCTGGGCAGAAATTACAGACAGATTAGACTGTAACTCTCATAATTCCCAGTTAACTGTAGTCTAGAGGCCACAATTTGAAGAAAATTGCCATACACAATTCAATATATTTGGAGTACATGTGTCCCTAACAAAGTGCAATTACAGAGATAAAATCTGTGTCCTAAATAATCAAATAACCAGGAAATCAAATTATTAAATGGTTGTTAGCAACCAATTTGACCTGTGGAAATTTTTTACAGTTGTCATAAAAACCTTCAAGGAAAGCAAACTTTATTACGAGGAGGGAAGATTTCCCTATCACGCTGCCACTACAACTCTATATATCATCCTCTTTGTGGCTCTGTTGCTTTTCAGTTTTTTAGCATGGTAAAATATTGACCCCAGATCCACTTACCTCCAAAGCTGCTAGGACATTAATTGTTCATGACAGCAGAAGTTCTTGAGTGGGGATACTTTTCGATCATAACATTAATGCAGACTCTTGGTATTTCAGATTATAAAGCTCAGCAGTAGTCAATTTTTAATTAAACTTCTCACAAAGTGGAAACTACACATTTCCAGCCCTGATTGATACAGCCTACTTTCACAGAGAATGAATGCTTTTTGCTCTACTTTGTTCTATTCTGTCTCACACAGTCACTCTTGAATGATGCTTTAAAATGACTGGGACTTCCTGGTTATATTCATTCCCATCTGCCAGATACAATGTGCTAGATTAGTAATGCAGTGACTCAAAACCTACACAAGAATTGCAGTAGTTTGAATTGGCATCTGTTGGTAACAATGGCTAGCCAAATGCCAACAGGCCAATTTGCATATTACATCTATCACACAAATGAAGGTGGAAATCAACACTACATGAGATGGTTCATCCAAGCCTATGATTCTCTAATCATGTTTGGATGTCACATGATTAGACTCCAGAGCAGCTATTGATTGGCACAATTTCCATGTATTTAAGTTATAACTTAAACTGCTTTTAAGTTTTACCCTCAAATGCCTCAGGGTACCATTACACTAATGATAGACTGTATTTTTTTTTTAAGTTATTTATATTGATGATCATAGTAAGATGATAAGAGAATACATTCCAGTAAATTGTGTGAATAACTTTATATTTTAATTCATCTACAAATTAATTTCTGTCATATTTGTGGTCCCTAAATCTTTTAAATTTTTGAATGAACACTGTTTCCTATTACCTCCTCATCAAAATACACCATCACCGTACAGATTTTTTTTTCCTTTCTCCTGTGTAACATTTCCATTAATAAATCTGTTTTAGTATGAGAAAAGAACAATTAAACCCCACTATCCCTAAGGACATTCTCCAGATACATTGGTAATGGAAATTTTACATGTACAAGAACAGGAAGGCTTCATTTAACCATGGTAATTATGAGTGGCAACTTCTTTACTAAACGCAACAGTCATAAAGCGCAATGTCAGATGGCCACACTAACTAGCAGCCCTAGTTGCTTCAGTAGGTAAATCCTGCACAGTTGTAGCATCCTACAGTCATGTGATTGCCATTTGTGACCTCCTGCTGACTTCCTCATTGATTTTGCTTATTGGAAGCTGGCACTGAAGGTTGCAACTGGTGATCACATGACTGCAGGATGCTGCGACTATTGTAACAGCAAGTCGGTTGCCAAATCGCAATTACCTGACTATGGCAATGGCCACAAACTGTGAGGAAAACTTGTAAGTCCCCTTATTCAGTGCCATTGTACTTTGAATTGTCACTGAACGAGTAGTTGCTGAATGAAGATTATGTATATATAGTTTAGGACAGGGGTTATCAAAATGGCGGCCTGCAGGCCAGATGCATCATGTGCAGGCCACGCCGACTCCAGCTCCATGAAGGGGAAAAACATCACAAAATGTCACATGATGGCAACGTGACACCGCAAGTTTGACAACCATGATTTAGGAGGTATAGTTTACCTGACTGAAGTAGCCTGCTTTGTATCATCTTGCTTAACATTTTACTTATCTTCAGATATCTTTACTTCCTTATGCAGAAAGACACAATATGATTGCATGCAGATATTTTGGATATCTGCATGCAAAATCCCTGTAGCGAAAGGCCAATATTGATGTAAAACATTTTCACTACCCCGGAAAATGTCATGATTTCCTTATGGAAAAGCAGTTATTCAAAATTATTCAAAACAATAAAATATATCAGAGATAAGAGACAAAAAAAAAAAAAGATAAAGTCCAACAAGGGGTTAAAATAAATCAGCATTCAACCAGCCAGTCAATTTTTGGAAATAAGAAGCAAAGTAAAAAAATAAACTTCAAGAAGTGTAGTTAAAACCCAGGCATGCTTAAGAAAACAAACTGCCAAGAAAAAAGATGGATGACTGGCGATTTTCCAGCCGCTCCCAGTGAGGAACTGCAATCTACAAGATTTCTCTTCCTAGGTGGATACACGGTTATTCAAAAGCCATCTTGGATCATTCCTATGTGCTCCCATTCAATTCCAGGGAGCAGCATTGCCAAAGAACCAGCTTTGGCAGCCAAATCAGCAGACTGTCAGCAAGAGAAAGAAAAGTTCCTGCCATTCAGCAGCCACCTAGGGGGAGAGTCCTTCATATACTCTTTTCTCATCAACTTTATTTTTATTCAATTTAAAATGACATATTACATATTTTTTCAATTCATTAATAGGGTGAAACCTATGTTTTATTCCTTCCGGAATTCACTGTCCCTATTTTTTAACTCTGCTACTGACAGGCTAATCAGATTATTTCACCCTGAGAATGAAGTTTTATTTAAATAATTGCAATGAAATATCAATGAACAATTTCTCAATTAATAATAATGAACCAATCATAGCAATATATTTCACCTAAACTGGCTAACAGACGTGGGCTACAAAATTTGGATGGTGGTGATGATGATGATGATGATGATGGATAAGCTCATCAATGGGAGCAGAGTTTTCTACAACTATTTGTCATCTATTCTTTGTTTGGATTTTTGTATCTGGTAACCCTAACTAATAATGCTTATTTTATGTCCTTAGCAAAGAGACTGTTTCTTGAAAATACTTTTTTTTTAAAAAAAAAAATGCTCTATTATTATAATCTGCTGGATAAAAAGGGCAGATGAGTCACAGTTATAGTGGAAATAATAGTCAACTGCCAATAGAATTTGTTTTGCAATATCCTTGCGTTTAAAATGTTTAGGAAATCAAAAGCAATTAATATAAAGTTCCTGGAGTGTGCAAAAGTAGGATTAAATGGAAATGTCACTGCAGTGTAACTCTGTGGAAAACAAATTTGTGTAGAGATTACTATGTAGATAATATAGAACAAGGTTCTTATAATTGCGACTCATAATAATTCCATTTTTCTCTTCCTGTTTTATATTTAAAATAAAATATGAATGAAAATTAAGATGCTGACAAGTATGCAGGATGTCAAGCAGTGTTTTATTTTTAAAAAATAATTGGAAATGATGCTTCAATCTCCTTATGTGGAGATCAAAGTGTTTTCAAGAAAACAGGGATTCTCCCCCTCGATGGAGTCACAGTGCTCTTACACTGACCACATCTAGGTATCCTTTACCATGATTGGTAAATTTACATTTACCAATCATAATTTACATTGTAAATTATGATTTACATTTGCAAAAGGAATCAGAACACAAAATACAAGCTAAGTGGACATGACCTTGTAGATGATCCTCACTCTGTCAAGGACCTTGGAGTACTCATATCAAATGATCTAAGTCCCAAAGCCCACTATAACAACATCGCCAAAAAGGCATTAAGGGTTGTAAACCTAATCTTGTGAGGCTTCTTCTCCGGTAATATTACACTACTAATCAGAGCATACAAAACATTTGCTAGACCAATTCTCGAATACAGCTCATCTGCCTGGAACCCACACTGCATATCGGACATTAATACAATTGAACATGTCCAGAAATATTTCACAAGAAGACTCCTCCACTCCTCCTCTCGTAACAAAATACCTTATGCCACCAGACTTGAAATTTTGGTCTTAGAAAATTTAGAACTACACTGCCTTCAGTATGACCTAAGCATAGCTCATAAAATCATCTGCTACAATGTCCTACCTGTCAATAACTACTTCAGCTTCAACCACAACAATACACGAGCACAAAATAGATACAAACTTAAAGTGAACCACTCCAAACTCGATTGCAGAAAATATGACTTCAGCAACAGAATGGTCAATGCCTGGACTGCACTACCAGACTCTGTGGTCTCATCCCAAAACCCCCAAAACTTTAACTAAAACTGTCTACTGTTGACCTCACCCCATTCCTAAAAGGTCTGTAAGGGGCGGGCATAAGAGCACCAGCGTGCCTACCATCCCTGTCCTAATGTTCCCTTTGACTGTATTCATTTTATGTAGTCAATTCATGCTTATACTTATATATATTATCTAATACGTGCTTGACAAATAAATAAATAAAAAATGATTTTAAAAATGATGTTGATGCCAAGTCTAGCCACGCATGGTAACAAGGCACTGGGAGCTCTCCAATGGCCATTGTGCTTACAAAAATTGATCCCGTAACAAACTATTGCTAAACACTGCCCAAAGTTCATGGCTCTTTTGTTTATTTTTCTCCAACTATGGCTCTTCCTAGTGACCTTCTTGGAGGAAGGTATGCTGGTGCTCACCTATATACCCACATCAGGCTTATGAATTGTGTGCCTCTTCTACTCTCAGGAGGATGATACCTCATGACTGGAGAGAAGGCTGCTCCTTGGAATGGATATGCAGAAATCAGCATGCTGCCAACCAGGAAGAGTTGTCCTTGGAAGAGAGGAAGATAAGAGTAGGTTATCTTAATTTGGTTGGTCATTTTTGGGCAGCATTCCGAATGGCTTGTGGCTATTGCTGGAGTAGTTGCTGAAAGCAAGGCTACAGGGAAAAGTAGCTCTGGCCCTGGAAGCACATTTTTAGTGCAACTCAGCTTGGATTTGCAAGCCTAGCTTGCACACACACAACTGACTCACTGCCAGATTATCCTCCCTCTCTATGTCCACAAACTAATAATCCTCTTCTATAACAGGAGATCCTATCAGACTGCCAGAACCTATCAGAGCATGGTCCTACAGTTTTATCAATGAGGGAAAGAAACATTTTTTGTTTTAATTTTAGGGGGTGTAGCACAACAAAGGTTGAGAACCCTACAATAAGAAAATTTAGTCATTATTTTTAAAAGAAATACATATCTTCAAATGCTTCTGTCTCTACTACCTGCTGCCCCTACTAACTTTTAATTACATTGTAAATTAAATTATACTGCACTTTATGCTTTACTGAGTACTTAGTGCAGAAAGACAGGATAATCATAATATGCTCCAATGGAAGATAAGGTGGTCTACTTCAGAGGTGGGTTTCAGCAGGTTCTGAACAGTTCTGGAGAACCGGTAGCGGAAATTTTGAGTAGTTCGGAGAACCAGTAGTAAAAATTCTGACTGGCCCCATCTATTCTCTGCCTCCTGAGTCCCAGCTGATCGGGAGGAAATGGGGATTTTGCAGTAACCTTACCCTGGAGTGGGGTGGAAATGGAGATTTTACAGTATCCTTCCCCTGCCACACCCACCAGGCCATGGCCACCAAGCAATACCATGCCCACCAAGCCACACCCACAGAACCGGTAGTAAAAAAAATTTGAAACCCACCACTGGTCTACTTCTGATTGTCTTGTCAAGAACAGGGAAACTGGAAGATCGTTATGGAAAGACTGAATGAAACGAAATGGTCTGAGCAAATGAATAGTTATGTGCCGGTAGTATATCTACAGGCTAAAGTTCCCACTTTTAAACCCCCACACAGTAACAAACTAATGTCCAGCTTTTGTATGCCTCAAATATAAAATAAATTAATGCTATGCAAGAAAATTAAAAACAAATATAGAAACATAATCTGATCAACAATACCATATAATAATAATAATAATACAGTATCTACCATTATGATATAAAACAAATTTTGGTTAAAAATAAAATGCTAAGCTATGAATTGAAGTGGGCAAGGGAACTTATTTACAATTTTAAAATTAAAAAAAAACATTATGCTGCCTTTTTCATTGCTCCCTCTGGAAATTCAATTTTAAATGTTTTGAAAGTTGTTTCCATTAATAATTGCCAAACCTAAATTAAAAACTTTTATCAAAGCTCTTTTTCTGAACTGATTGTCTATTCTGCTTTGTTATTGTACTACTGTATATGAACATATTTTGGTATCCAAGTCAAACACTATTCTTGTAGCTTTTGAGTCTTAGCAACAGCCACTATTTCATATGCCTTTGGATGCAATCTATGTCTTGATGTAGACAGTTACATGCAAAGTTGGTATTTTTCTTCCAATAAATCTTTATAATTCTTGTATTTTGACAGCTGTCTGACCTGAAGCTCATGGCTTGCAGAATCAATTACTAAAAACAAAGTGATTTTTTTTTCTTTATCCTGTTAGCAAAACAAAAGCAAACCAATATAAATTAAGACGCTTAATGGATTGAGAAATATGTACCAAACTGTTCAGGGACAAAAAAATTTAACTAATGCATTGCGCTTAAATCTCCCTGAAAGCAATAGTCTGATTTTCTTAACTTTGTGTGCTAAAATATAATTAATCACTTCCTCTCACTTCCATTTATCAATATGATGAACAGTGCTATGATGCAATCAACAAGTAAAATATAATTTAAAAACCAGGAAAAAAGGATTCCCAAAACATAATTGATCCTCAGTCATATTATTAGTTCTAGCACAACCAACATCAGTCAGTCAGTCAATTTCATTTCATTCTGAATCTGCAGTATTTTTAAGGATTTTTCATAATTTTTAGTAAACCTAGATGGCCTTATTGGTGTAACTATTTCCTGGGATTCTTGAGTGAATCCTCTTTTTTCAAAAGAGGATCCTCTTTGTATACAGTATAGGAACACTTAATAATATTGCTTTTTTTAAAAAAATGATGAGTCCTTTTTTTTTTTACAGAGTATGCAGTCAGTCCGGCTTTAAAGGTAGAATTTCAATTTACTTGTGGAATTTGATATGGAATATTGCAACAGGAAAATAACTAAAACAATCTAATAAAAAGCAAGAATAAGTGTTCCATACTTAATAGTGTATTTCATATTGTAAAATGCTATGTATAGTTATTCAAAAAAGTTGGCAGCAGACACTGTCCTCTGACAGAGCATAATTAGCAAGGTTTGTTCTAATAACACAGGTACAGGACCCTTGAAGAAAGCTTTAAAACTAATCAATTTATTTTGAGTGATTGTTACTATGTTATAATTACCTCATTTGGCAGCAGTGAGAGCAGCCAATTGATCATTTAACTGATTACATACTTATTTTATACCACACATCTTCAACCACTGACATAATTTGCTATGGAGATAAGTGCCTGTTAAACTTTTATAGGCCCAGAAGCAACAGATTGTTTTGGAAAGGCAACACTATTTGCCAGGTAGATTTCCAGAGTAACTGTCCACCTGGGCTTTTCATTTTGTTAAAAGTTATTTCCAGAGTTAAGCATTTTGTTGCCTTAAATCAAGGACAAGATGGCATCCTCCCATTTCATTGCAAAAGCTAAGCCAAGCTGTAGCTGAAGCCCCAAGTAGAGACATGGGTGTTCTACCTTATCTGAGAAGAGATCTTAGGGAAAGGTGAGCAATCTGTGGCCCTAGGATTCCTCTTACCACTAGTGCTGAAATTTGGCAGAAATTTTGAGATTATAAAAGACAACATTAAAGCTACAGAGTTAATCATAGAGGAGGCTTAATATAATTTAAGAAAGAAGAACCTCATCAAAGAAACCTGTCAAAAAAACAGTTCCATCAATTTTATATCAATGATGCTCCTACTGTAGCTTTTAGACTTCTTCCTCAGCTCACAAGCACCAAAAGATTACCCATCTCTGATTCAAAAAACACAGAACAAATCAAATGATACAACTCTACCTGTTTTCCAATATCTATTACTTCTATTTTCCTGCATCTGCTACTCAAAACATCCACCTCTTACTTATTCCTGAAGCTATGCTTGGTTTTGGAAATTGATGGGCAATGTAACTGATGCTGACAAAAAGGAGCTGAATTTTAAGTTGCAGAATTCAGTATATGGTTCTTTGAATCAAGGACTAATATTTTTCTGTATGGATATATCTGGCTTACATTTCCAATGTTTTACAAAGAACTGAAGACTTTCTGTCCCAAAAGGATGACAGACCTTAATAACAAGTTTTGTGGTATGTTTATGTGAGAAAATAAATGCTATAAAAATTGAAGCCATGTAGCCCAATGTCTCTGGGCGGTCAACCACCTTCATAACCACAACATTTGGTGAATGTTTAAATGCATTCTTCCACTTGAATAATAAGAAGTCTACCGGTATCAGTTTGGCAACATGCCATTTTAGCTGGCTCTTCGTTATCACTCTAAGAGTTGACAGTTTTAAGTTCATTATTTAAATCCCTGTATACCAGTAATGATAAAATGAGTTATGATAGAATGTGTAGAAGTCATGAACTCAGATAGCGTCAGGAAAAAACTATTTCTTTTTTTTTTTATAAAAAAAAGTATTCCATACATGAATACAAATGAAATAGCTAATATTTTGACAGCGTGAAAGCAATTCACCTTTACCTCAATGGTCGTTAAAAGTGGTGTGAAATCATTAATTTCATTTATGTATTTGTGTGTGTTCTATGTCCTTTATCGTTTTAGGAGATCACAGCACCACAAAAATGTAAGTATAATTTGGATTATTCTCACACCACTTATTTCCAATTATTAAATTTTAATCTAAAAATCATAGGTTTTCACAACTGTGGAACCACAATAGCTCATTGCAGGCTTGTATAAGTAAAATGAAGAACAAAAACAAGAGACAGTTTTGTGACAGTAAACCATCCAAGTTAGGAACATTGATAATTTTTTTCCACTTTGCCTGGACAATCCCATATCCAAACTGCATTAGCAAACAGAGAGGGTGGAGAGAAGAGCAAGTTCTGACAATACTCTCCCTGTGCCTGTGAAAGTCTCATCAGTTGGGTTCTTTTTCCAATTCTGACCCTCTACAAGTTATTCATCGGGTAGCACAACCATAGTTTGAATGGCCAATCTCAGGATATTCAAATCCCAGGTTTTTATTTTTATGTTGTATTTATAAACAGATTTGGAGATTTGGATCTAGATTTAGATTTATTCACAAAGGGGAAAAAGGCTTACACTGAAAATTTTAGTACTGCGAATGTTTATCTAAGTTTTATCAAGTTTTATTTTAGAGTGAAAAAAGTTAATGATGACCAATATCTATCCAAATAAGAGGAAATCTTACTTGTACATCAGCTTCTGTTTATCTGTATTTCTCCCATTGTATAGTTTGTACCAGGCTTTTATCAGAATTGTGCAAAGATTTGAGGGACTGCTTCAGTTCAATGAAGATTCAGTTGAATTACCCCTCTGAAGCAGATCTGCAAATTGAAATAGGGACAGGCTTCAATGTAGTGGATTGAATTAGGTGACTATGAAGCACTTTGCAAACTTGATTACTTCCCCCCCCACACACACACACACTTCTACTATTGGTATAGACAACATACAGTATTGCAAGTTCTGTCCCATATGTGGATAATGCGGGGAGGAGGGGGGGAGCTGAGTTATCAAAAGAGTATTCTGACACTACTAATAGCAGCCAGTTAACATTATCATCTTGATACACCATCAGTTAGAGAACATTGGAATGGCAATCTTGATCAAACTAAGCATCTAATTAACTTTTCAGCTCTCAATTTCTTTAATGTGGCCAGCTATAAATCTTAACTTTGCCTTTTGTTCTCACTATGATCTTTGGCTTGTGGCTGACACACACCACTGAGTCAAGACTTTGAGAGCTGAAATAGCAATGCTAGAAGTAAAGGTATCAAATAACAGTTGTCTCTATCCAACTGTCCAAGGCTGAGAAACTGGTGGCAAAATGTCTTAAGCATAAAGAAGAAGAGGCAGATGCAGGATGTAAACTCTGGAGCTGACAATTGCTGCTAAATTCCTGCTTCTGTAGTAGCTGATTTTTCTCATTTTAAGAATTTCTTTAGAACATGTAATTAAAGCAACTTATCTTAAAACCTATCTCTATTTTCCGTGACTAGAAGCATACTCAGAAAGAAATTAATACCTGTGCTGAGGTGAAGTTCTGAAAAAAGGTTTTTTTAAAAAAGTTCTGCATAACTTGAGCAGCAGAGTAAAGTCTCTAGATATTGAACAAAGAGGGCCTAGACTTACAAAGGCTAGCATTCACTTTTTTTAATGGCAAGACTGTATGCCACTTTCTCTGTGTGAAACTCTTTCTCTACAATCTATTTCAAGCATGTTTGATCTCACTATGCCAGCCTGATTCTGCTGCCTTCCATCCTAGAATATGGCCAGGAAACCACAACTCTGTCACAATCAAATCCTACTCAGCATATAGGCTACACTTTCCCAAGCACCGTCAATCCTGGTACCCCAATGATAGTTCCTTCTGTTGAGGGGTCAAAGCTTGCCAAAAAGCTACATCAATTTTCATCCTACCAAACCCAGTGATTAGAGGGAGAAGCCACAAGTGAATGAATATTCTTCTGAGACTTCCCAGAAGAAATTGCCAATGTGTCATGCTCAACCTGGCATGCCAATGAAGTCAATGATAAGTAGAATTTGCTGAGAAAGGCCATTACTTTCCCACAAACTATGCCAACCTTCCTCACATAACACACAACTCAAATATTCACACAGTTATATCACTCCACAATGAGCATCCTTCAATATTGTGCTTGGCCCAGCCTTTCAAAAGCATGTATAAAAGGGCTTACTTTTAAAGCAGTTCTTGAGAAGTTTTTATTTGTGTAGTAGGCTACTTTCTGCCTTGCTTCAGTCAATTTCTCTAGAGACTCTTTGCTATACAATGTGGGAGTTTCTGTGCTGTCCTTTCTTCATCTTTGCTATCTTTGCCTTGATAAAAGAACAAGGAGAATATTTTATAAAATTACTGTGAATGCCTTGAAGCTCTTTGGCTAAAATTTTGCAGGTTAATGACCTTTAGTTCTTCCATTCTTGCTATTTCCATACCCATTCTGACAAATATATATATATGAAGCAGCTGCAGGAGGTTTGAAATTTTCTCACAGTAGCCTACGGACAAATCTTTTTTCTTTTTTAACTGAACCTTGCATTTTAAAGCATTTCACACATTTGGCCTCAAGTTGAAGTTCTGAACTGAATTCCATTTCCAATCTATAATCCCTGATTTCTAATGAATCAGACTTATCTTCTTATCTTTGGAATGGTCCATAATACTTTCTCTCTTGTTAATTAATATCCTAATCCATCCCATGAGATAGAATGATGAAATATCCATCTTGTTTGTTGAGGGCTATATTTGCTGAAAGTAGTCCAAGAATTCTGGTGTGTTCATCTCTTTCTGGTGTGTTTCCAGAAAGACTCACAAAGAAAGGAATAGTTATTATAATCACTGCACTCACATTAACCTAGAGTAGCTCTCAAAACAAAAAGAGAGAATCAAAAAATGCAGTGCCACTATTTATTGTTCACCTGGAAAGAGAAAATCAACCAGACTACAGAAAAAGTAAGGTCCCTGGAAATCACAAAGAAAAACATGCTGAAGGTAGGGTAAGTTGGCTTATGCATATGAGACTTGGAAATGCTAAATTGAGTGACACAATCATATTTTTCTATGGACACCACTGAATCTTGGAGAATTAAATGTCTAGCTGAGAGAAATAGAACAGAATATGAATATCAATGTTTCCTTCCTGACTCTTAAAGCCAGCAGATGCTGTGCACCTGGGATAATGCCAGCTACGTGATCTTTCTGAATATTAATCTAATTTGGGCATCAGGAGAAAGCAGGGAGATTCAGCATAATTAAACTGCAAGCATGGATATTGTGCCTGCACACACGAAGACCACAAAGATAACTAATTAAATGAAAAACAAATCTTTCAGAAATTTTAAAAGAAAACTATTTTTACAAACTTCTACAGACATCCTATTTTGATAGGTGTTGGTCACATGTAATGTTTTAGTTTTGATTGAGGGGCACTGTAATTACTAGTAACAGACAGACAGACAGACAGACAGACAATAACATCAAAAGGTGAAAACCAGATTTTCTTTATCTATCATATTCTTAAAATGTTTGTAAAAAATCCCTGAAACTTTTAAAAATCAACTGCATCTAGAATTTCAGAAATTACTTTCTGCGTTCACTTTTCTGTTCCTCTACAAAGTTCAAGTCCTTGTTATCCTACATGAAAAAATTAAGAAATTTATTGTTTTTGTAAAACTTTTTATAAAAACTTTAAACAAATTCTCATTATCCTTTGAGCCATCACAGCATATAATTGTATATTTTAAAAACTGAAATCCATAATATACTATTATTGAATGTGCTGTATGTAATAAAGGAAAAACTTAAAATTATCTAGGTTAAAAGAGATAAATCAGTCTGCAAATAATAGTACTAAATTGAATTTTCTAATGAAAGGTTTAATTCTATAACACTATGGTATAATGTGATTTGTTTATTTCTGATAAAGCATTATGTCTGAAATACCTTGCAATGGCTAGTATAACAAGCTGTACCTTTAGAAATCCCGATGCAGTTTTTGATTAGATTTGACAAATCAAATCTAGTCTAGTAAGTCAAATGGTTGTAACTGCTAAGACTAGAACTAGGACTCTACAACATCTCTATATTGCATACAGTTTAAAACAAAAAAGTGGGAAAACATAAATCATACAGAAAAAAATATTCAAATGATGTACAATAAGTGATACAATTCCTAGGATGTGTAAAACATCTGAACAGCAATAAAGGTGAAACAAAATATGGACCCTCTTCTGGGGATTTTTAAGAACACATCCACTAGCAGGAAGAATATATTCTCCTTCTTAACTGAATTAGAAAGATATTAAGAACATTATTAAAGCAATGCTACAGATCAGAGAAAATAGGCAACGGGGGAAAAAACGTGTGATTGATTCAATCTCCCCAACCACCAGGCAACCTTGACTTGAGGGATTATTGTATCTTCTCCCTATAAAGCTGGTAAAAGCTTTGAAACTAACAAATATGAAGGAACTCCAATTTGGCATTCAGTTTAGTTTGCTGGGATAAAATATTTTCCAAATAAACTACCATTACAGTAGTTAAGGAACTATATATACTGAAGCACCCTGCTTCAGCTCAGTATTGCCTTTCTCAGTATAAATGGGATCAGAGATGAAGCAGAAAAGCCACAAAGTTTTAGGTCCTTTTTCCAATTATCTACAAGGATCAATGGGGCTAAAGAACCCTCAGTAAAAGCCACTTTCTGCCAAAATCTTAAATGACAAGAATCTCATGTATGCCTCTAAGCACAGATTCTAGGTGCAAAGAGGAGTTGAAGATCACTGAAGGATGTGAAGCAAGACTCTTAGGAATTTTTATTATATCTTTGTAAATACAAATCTGTGAGCCATAAAGCAAGACACTGGTCAGTTTAGTTTCCCATTAACAATAGCAGATACACAGCTGTTATCTCCATTGCTGACAAAACACAGTTGGTATCACATTTTCTTCTATGCATCAGAAGCTTCCTTCTTAAACCTACTACTGTAATGTTGTGAATGAATAAGCACATCATCAGCACAAAGGAAGACCAGGATAGATCTGGCTGCCATTTTTGAGGATTGGGCAAATTTGGCCCATCACTTTGTCTTAGCATTAGAAGACAATGGCAAGCCACTTCCAAAATGTTGCCAAGGAACCTGCACAGATCTGCCCAGGCAGTCACCAGGAGTCTGGAATGACTTTCAGAAAGAAAACAAATGGTTTGCTATAGTCCTTTTTAATTAGTACATATTTGGTGGTATCCTATGGAAAAGATAAGATTAATATAGACCTGGTAATGAAATTTATTCATTACCTGTAATGAATAAATTTTATTAAGATGTTATTACAATTTGGAAATAAGATGCTAGAGTTATATACCTTCCAGGAAATAACTAGTTACTCCTATTATTTTATTTATTTAGAAATGTATATGGTTGCCTGTCTTATACAAGATATTCCTAGGTGGCTCATAATAATAATCAGTGAGACCCAAATAAATAAAAGCAACCAAATCCCATCACAATATCATGTATCTCGATCACTGTGATGCAACTTCCCATAAACTCTACATAATGCAACAAGAAATGAAAGGTATAAGTGACACTCCTGATCCAGGAAAGAATGCAATTATTTCACAAGTTGAACCTATGCCAGGCTCCCTCTTGCCATAGCCACCATCTGCTCCACAAGCAAGAGCCATGAATCCAGGAAGACCCCAAATTTTGCACTAATTCTGGGGAAGTGCTGCTCCACTGAGAGTCAAGAGTGGAACTCACTGGATCCCTGGGGATCAAAATCCCAAATCCACTCCATCTTTCCAGGACTGAGTCTAAATCAGTTCCTCACCATTCAGGTCTCACAGCCTTCAAGCACTAGATAATCACCTGAACAGCATCACCTGTCCTGGGATGGAGATGTAAAATTGAGTGTTATCTGCATACTGATGATACCACCGCATGCCATCAAATGGTCTCACCCAGTGGCTTCATATACATTTAAATAGATATTAGGTTCAAAGAAACATTAATATAAAATACTAAAGAAACTCCTTTAACACATAGTTGGGCAGTATTTGGCTATAAAATTATAATGATGCAAGGAAACAATGATTCTTAATAATTGCTAAAATAATCATAACAATTAGAGATTATCAAATATTAAATTTGTTTATTGAAATTAGCAAAAATTGCAGTAGACTTTAAAACTCCAGGCTGTTTTGTTGTTCTTACTCTTCACAACTATAAAAGTTGTCTGAATATTATTACAATTAATAAAACATAAAATTTCTTCACAGAAGTGGATTTAATCAATCTATAAAGACAGTTGTGTCTAATCATTTACCTTTGTACAAGCATATTTAAATAAGAAATACCTATTTTTCTAGGAAAGCAATATTCTCTATGATGACATTTTTAGGACAGTATAATGGGACAATTCAGAACTGAGTGATCTATTCTTCATCTGTTCGTAAACAGGCTGAAGTTGTATAACCCTTAGCTCTGCTTTCTCTTACTGTAAAAGGTCCTTGAACAATTCTGTGAAAGATGCCTGACACAACACGAGGGATGCAGGAAAACATTAACATGCTGGTCACCAACAGTAACAGCTGTTATATAATGTTCTAAAATGATTTCCTGCCACTAATAGGCTGGAAACAGCACTTCAAACTAATTTAGTTCTGGTTCATGTATCCATTCTGATTTAACTTCAGACAAAACACAAGAAAAGCCACAAATTAAATCTATACTTGGTATTGCTTTGCAAGATAACAGTGTGTTTAAAGAAATGGTGAAAATGTATCATTTTTAACTGTTGATTTAAAAAGAAAAAGAAAGAAAAGAAAAGAAAGCATCCATTCCTCACAATAATATGCTTGATCTGGTTGTCAATGTTAATTAAAATATAAGCAGAGCAGACTTATTAAATATATACTTTTCACCAGTGGTGGGATTCAAGTAATTTAACAACCGGTTCTCTGCCCTAATGATTTCTTCCAACAACCAGTTTGCCAAACTGCTCAGAAAGTTAACAACCGGTTCTCCTGAAGTGGTGTGAACTGGCTGAATCCCATCACTGCTTTTCACCCATCTACTCTTTCCCCTTTACTTAGTTTCTGTGTGACAGTGCTGCACAAACTTGGTCACAGTGGCTGTGGATCTTCACTGCAATACAACCAAATTTAATAGCAGTCTCTACACCCTAGCACTAGTATAGTTCGAAGGTTACAATCCAACCACATACAGATTTGAACTCTGGACACAATAGAATAATAATACTCAATGGCTGCAGTGCCTCAGAGAGAAAGTCCATTCAGAGAGTGGTAAGGACAGCTGAGAAGATTATAGGAAGCTTGCTTCCTGTTATTCGGACCACCCCAATGATGCCCTTGACGTGATGTCCCGGTGCCTGGAGGCTGTGTGGATCTGAATGGGGAGAAACAAGCTCAGACTGAACCCCTCCAAGACCGAGTGGCTGTGGTTTCCGGCGTCCCAGTATAGCCAGCTGGTTCCATTGCTGACTATTGGGGGTGAGATTTTGGCCCCCTCAGAGAGGGCTCGCAACTTAGGTGTCCTCCTGGATGCACAGCTGCCTCTAGAAGATCATGTGACAGCTGTGGCCAGGGGGGCTTTTTATCAGGTTCGCCTGATTTACCAGTTGCGTCCCTTTCTGGACCGGGACTCCTTGCACACGGTCACTCACGGTCACTCATGCCCTCGTCACCTCCCGTCTGGACTACTGTAATGCTCTCTACATGGGGCTCCCCTTGAAGAGCACTCGGAGGCTCCAACTGGTCCAGAATGCGGCCACGTGGATGATTATGGGAGCGACATGGCACACCCATGTAACACCTCTCCTGCGCGAGCTGCACTGGCTCCCGGTGGTCTTCCGGGTGCGATTCAAGGTGTTGGTTACCATCTTTAAAGCGCTCCATGGCTTAGGACCTGGGTACTTATGAGATCGCCTTCTGCTACCGATAGCCTCCCACCGGCCAATACGTTCCCACAGAGAGGGACTCCTCAGGGTGCCGTCAGTCAAACAATGTCAACTGGCGACCCCCAGGGGAAGAGCCTTCTCTGTGGGGACACCTGCCCTCTGGAATGAATTGCCCCCGGAGATACGGATGATCCCTGACCTACACGCCTTTCGCCGTGCCCTCAAGACCTTATTGTTTCAACAGGCTGGGCTGGCCTAAACATGAATTTTAATGGTTGTTTTAATTTTTAATAAGACTGGGGCCAAATTATTTAATATATTTTTAAATTGCTTTTAAATTTTTTATATGTGTGTTTTAGTGTTGGCTGTGCACCACCCTGAGTCCTTCAGGAGAAGGACGGTATAAAAATTTAAATAATAAATAAATAAATAAATAAATAAATAAATAAATAAATAAATAAATAAATAAATAAATAAATAAATAAATATTCAGGATTACTGCTTATAAGCACTATGTGCTTAGAGCTCAAAGCATTGTTAGAGACCCCACACACCCACTTCACGGTCTGTTTCTGTTACTCCCCTCTGGGAGGAGGTTTCAAAGTACTTCTAACAGGACTACCAGATTCTATAACCCTATGCCCTCCATCTGGCAAACTCATGTACATGTATACTGTACATCGAACCTAGACTGTGCTGTTTCTCCATGTCATATAATATATGTGGGTGCATGCATAATGATTTATTTATTTATTTATTTATTTATTTATTTATTTATTTATTTATTTGTTTCGTCATGTTTAGTGTATATTAAAGGTGGAGACCCTTTGAGAGTTA